AGACGGGAGGTAGGAGCCAGCGTGTAGGAAGCTGCAGGGATGAGTACAGCCTTGGAAAAATTTATTTTTAAAGATTTATTTATTTTTAAATTTTTATTTATTATCATTATTCTTCAATTTTTGATCAGAGAGAGACAGACAGACAGGGAGCGAGAGAAAGCAAGCCGTTAGGTTCGGGATTCGAACCACCGTTTGCCATGTGGGAGTCCAGTGCCTCAACCACCATGCCACCTGCCGGCCTCTGGAAAAAAATTTTTTTAAAAAAACATCAGCATGAACAAGCCCACAAGTATCATGTGATTGAAGACCTGCCAGCCCCTCCTAGTTGTCGGCACACACAGGCCTTTTTACAAGAACAGAGGGCACAGACAGCAGGACTGAACGCTGAGAGCTGCCGGAGTAACAGCTCTGTTCCCAAGGGAACAGAGCAAATTGCGTGAACCTGAGTATAAGAGTACATCTTTTTTTTTTTTTTTTTTTTAAGAGAGATTTTTGCTATGGGAGGCATGTGCTCACTAGAGAAACTGAAAGCGAGAAATCACCCCCCAAGGGGGATGACCACGCCGCAATCCCTTCTCCTCCATTCTCCTCTCAGGATCTTGGGCACGCATGCACACACGCCCTGTGTGAGTTTCAAGTCACCAAGTCTAGGACTTGAACCACAGTTGACGTAAGCCTTATGCCATCTGCTGGTTCCTGTAAAAGAACATCTTAACCCAAGAGTGCTCTCACGTGGCTGGCAGACATACTCCAGATGTGTGGCGACAGGGCAGGGTCTGTCTCTAACTTAGACCAGAGAGCCGGAACGTGTAGCGTTCATTCAGGACCAGCCCAGGAACAGCGTTTGTGGAGTCCGCGCTCAGGGCAGATGACAACGGAGAGGCCACACAAAGCAACGTGAGTGTCCACATTCCTGCAGGTTTCATTTCTTTTGTGAGAGTCTTTTGCTATAGGGTGCGTGTGTTTGCCTGAGAGACAGAGAGATAGGAAGTGAGAAATCGCCCCCGGGGGCATGACCACACCGCAATCCTGTCTTCTCTCAGGGTTTTGGGCACACTTGCACATGCGCCTGGCATGATTTTAAGCTGCTGGGTCTGGGACTTGAACCATGGATGACTACGTGGGAGTCCAGCAACACAACCATTATGCCATCTGCTGGCCCCAAGTTTAATTTCTTTAAATGAGAAGGACTGGGCTGGTCTGTGGCCTAGTAGTTAAGGGAGTTGGATCACAAATGACTGTGGTTAAGTCCTGGCCCTGATGGCTGAAAATCACAGCAAGGTGCCGGTAGGTGGCATGGTGGTTAAGGTGCTGGACTCCTAAATGGCCGATCATAGTTTGAGTCCCGGATCTGGCAGCTTGCTTTCTCACTTTCCCTCTCCTCCTCTCTCTCTCTGTGTCTCTCTGGAGAGCACGTGTGCTCTATAGCAAATTAAAAAATAATAATAAGATAAATCTTTAAAAATTATTTAATTTTTTGAGAGGTTTTCACTATAGGATGTGTGCGCTCGCCAGACAGACAGAGAGAGACAGAGAGACAGAAAGCGAGAAATCACCCCCCAGGGGGGATGGTCACACTGCAATCCCTCCTCCTCCATTCTCCTCTTGGGATCTTGGGCACGCACGCACACGCGCCTGGCATGAGTTTTAAGCCACGGGTCCAGGACTCAAACCGTGGTTGACTACGTGGGAGTCCAGCGACATAGCCATTACGCTAACTGCTGGTTCCCAATTATTTAATTTTTTATTTGTTATTATTTTATTTTATTTTATTTTAAAAAATTTGACTAGAGAAAGACAGAGAGAGAGAGAGAAAGGAAAGTGAGAAAGCAAGCTGCCAGGTCTGGGACTTGAACCAAAGTTGGCCACATGGTAATCCAATGCCTCAACCACCATACCATCTGCTGGCCCCAAATAAATAACCTTAAAAACAAGGAAAAGAAAGAAAAGAAAAGAGCAGCAGGTGCGTATACCTCAGAGGATGGCAGGATGGAGAAGCTGTGCCTCTCTAGTGAGCGCACGTGTCCTCGGGATTAAAGAAAGCGGACAGGACTAGCCATCAGATTTCTTCTCAGAGGACAGTCCTTACCCTTTCCTGGTTTAAGAACCCAAGAGGCCATGAAGACTCTCCAGTGCACCCGCACATACACACAGAGGACTTGATATGGCACTCAGGTTGGAACGTCCCGGCTGCACCTTTCGCTATCACCTCTCCTGAAAACCAGCCAGTCAACCAACAAGCAAAACGTCCAGCCATTTCTTCCTTTCTTTAGGTGTTTGCCATAGGGTATGTGTGCTCGCCAGAGAGAGACAGAGAGGGAAAGTGAGAAAGCACCCCCAGGGGGGATGGCCACACCACAATCTCTTCTCTTCCATTTTCCTTCTGTGATTTTGGGCACACACGCACGTGCCCCCTGGCTGATTTTCAAGCCTCCAGGTCTGGGACTCAAATCACAGTCAGCCAGTGCCTCAGCCAACACGCCACCTGCTGGCCCCCAGCCCATTTCTTATTCCTGCATAGATGGCTGCTGTTTCACAGTATTCAGTGCAAGGCAGACTCAGGTAGGACACACACCTGACCGAGGCTGCAAACCCTTGAAGATGGAACCGTACCAAGCACGATACAGTCCTGATTACCAAGTGTAGTAGTTATCTTTGCCATGTAACAAAGTACCCCCAAACTTAACAGCTTTTCTTAGATTTCATTATTAAAGAATTATTTAACATTATTTATTTGTTTTGACTGGAGAGGGACAGAGACAAAGAAAGTGAGAAAGCAAGCCACCAGGTCTGGGATTCGAACTGCAGTCAGCCACGTGGGAGTCCGGTGCCCTTAAACATCACACCACCTGTCAGTCCCAGAGTTTAACAGATTAAAACAGCAATTTCTCATTACCTCCCAGTTTCGGAGAGTTGGGAATTCAGGAGTAATTTAGCTGAGTAATCTGTCTCAGAGCATTCCTGAAGCTTCG